AACTGTGGTGATAGTAATTAAAGAGTATTTGTGGATTTATGTTCTAAGTGAGGAAGTATTTTGAGGAACTTAGACATGGGCTGATTTCTTACTAGACACAGATGTGTAGAGAATATTTGTGGGGGATAAATTCATTTAATTTTGTAATGTTACTAGTAAGTAGTAACATCTTTAAAACAAAGGTAAGAGAATTTTACCTGTGCTGCATGGATACATACAAAAAACGAGGCTGAAAATTCGGGTCTCTAAGTTGCCAGAATATGTTTAAAAACAAGTAACATTTTTAAACATTTTAAGTATTTTGAAATAATGCATTTATTTATTTATTTAACTTATACTTTCTCTTTTCTGTGCACACAACATTGGTTCCTAGCCTGCTTATGCTTCAACATGGCATTAAGTGTATTTTATGGCACCTCCAGATTTCTCCCAAATACTTTAAAGTTATTAGTTTAATCTTATTACAACTGCCATATCATTTATTTCAGAGACTGGGTGATTTAGAAACTTCTATTTCTATCATGCAGATAACATAGAGTATTGCAAATTCATTGTTGGTGAGAAGAATACTATAGGTTAGCATAATAGTAAGGGAGATACAAGAGAACTGCTGGGTGTATCTCAGCCTGTGCAACAAGTTCATGACATCATCAAAAGCAAAAAAAAAAAAAAATGATGACCATGCAGTTTCCAAATATGCAATTACTTTAAGTATCTCTTGGACAGGGAGGGAAAAAATTAATTTCATTACTAGTCATTTAATAAACTACCCATTTATCAAAATCATTATTCCTTAACTGCCGTTTGTCATAATTTTATAGTTTTAGTTTTGCCACCTTTTCCTAAAGATGGGAATTCCTATACATTCATGTTAGAAAAGAGGCAGTAATAGATAAAGAGATACAGAGGGTAATCCAGCTGATGCTTTGCCAATAATTTTTACTCTTTCCAACTGCCTTTTGTGCCAGGCAGTTGCACACAGTGGATGGGTGTACACAGCTGTGAGGCAAGATTGCTTCTCTCACCATTTTAACATATCATTGAAAATCTAACACAAAATATAACTTGGTGAGTTACTTTATTTTGGGAATACATTTAGTTTGGGTCTAATTTGTTTTGTTTAGCATATAAAAGGGCTAGATTAAACTTCATTAAGTACATATATGGTTTGAAAAGTCTGAGACAACATGTATTCCAATATTAACTCTGGTCTAAATTCACTAAAAGTAAATTCAAAGGCTACTTAGAAACAAGTTCTTGATGCACAAACCCTTCCACCCAGTAATATTAACACCCAGTTATCAATAATTACTCCCTGTAATCAATAATTGATCAATGCTAGTGATTACAATAGATAACATGCACAATGTATGGCTTTGTATCCTCAGTATCTTTGTTCATGAAATATTTCATTGGTATCTTTTGTTTGAGACAAATATGGAGAAAACATCAAAATCAGGTTAAATGAATTGCAGAGCCTGAAAGGTGGTTTAAACCCTTGCTTTGACACTTGTGATGTGTGGGAAATTGGGAAAATCATTAAACTTCTCTGCCTCCTTTGTCTCATTTTTAAAATGATGAAAACACCTACATCATAGGTGTGCCCGGAGAACTAAATGGTTTCAAACACAGTTGTGCAAATTGTGCTGTGCTCAGAAATGCATATCAAGAAGAGGGGAACAAAGATTGGTAAGTGCTGTGCCTAAAGAGGAAGCTTCCTAGAGACGAAGGAAACACTTCCTGGTTGAACATGTGGTAAGGGGAACTTCTTAGCCATCCAGCGTGAGGAGAGATCATGTTTTCCTAATTTATCCAATTACATGGATTGAGATGGAAGTGAGGTACTGCACTCTAAATTATTGATAAATGGCAGGATGTGGTTATTATGTTATTTATACAAAACTCATAAACACTCTGATTTCTTTTTAGGAAAGAAAACTCAGGCCAGGAAAATTTAAGTAATTCCAATACCCATAACCCATGTGTACATTGGAAACTTGTTCTTTCTGATTGGAAGAGTGGACTCTTCAGTCACACTGTTACATAATTTCCTTTATTACTCTAATCTCTATTTCAAATAACAGGATTTTGGAAAAAAAACAAACAAACAAACAGTAAGTCTCATCCCTTTCTCAGAAAGCTTGTAGTATTTCCCAGCTGCAGAAGTAGGGCTTGCTTTTGCCACCAGCATCCATTAAAATGACCCATGACTGCAGATTTGATTTTATATGAGTATGGTCTCCATCTGTAGTGCACTCTGTAACTAAGTGCATTATAAAATATCTGATGCAAAAACAAAAGTTTCTATAATAAAATGTTTTACTTAAAATAAAAATTCTTAAGGGATTGGTGTACTGAGACCTAAAAGCAGAACACTTAAGCTTAATAGCATTCCCTTTCTCTTTAGTTAAAAAATATTGGCATGTTTCTCAGAGGTCATGCTATCCAGTACATTGTAATATCAATATTGATTTTAGTGAGATTTTGAAGAAGGTAGGAAGGAATTATGAAAAATTATTTTATAGAATTCTATTGAAATGTCCAAAGTTTAGTGCTGTTTTATATAGCTTTTTCGTAATTAGAGATAATGCATAATTAAAAGTAAGAATTTGTAATATGTCTTCTATGTTTTGATTGAACAAATATGATCTAAATTCAATACTTACCTAACACTTATAGTATTTGATTATAGCGTGGGACATAAGAAAAGTTTTGCCACTTTCACAATTACTGTATATTCTACTATAAGAAAATAAATAATAAAAGCAAAATAAAATTAGCTAATTGATCCTTTCTATTCTGAAAGAAAAAAACAAATGCCATGACTTCATGACTTTGGCCTTGCTTTTTACATCATTCCCCAAAGAACTTCAAAGCTCTGCCAATATTTAGCTCTACAGGAATTTTCATAACTAAGGAAAAACACAAGGCCATCTATTAATGGTAATAGTAGCAGAATTTTAATTGTGAGTGATAGGAATGTTTATTTTAGAAGCCATGACTAAGAATTATCTCCAAATAAAAGTATGTGTATGTATGTGTGTGTGTGTATATATGTGCAAATAATATTTCAGTACAGAAAAACTTAATTGTATACTTCTTAGATTTAAACTGTATTAATCTCCTGGTGTGTATTCAGAGTATGTTAATGAAAATGAGTGCAATGACACTATCTTGGATTTTATTTTTCTCCATATATTTTTAAAAACTTGGGTGGAAGCTCTTTTGTCTGTCTCTTATATATAATCCCATAATTAAAGAATTTTCCCAACTACAGATACTGGGTTACAGTTATTTAGCGTTAGTATAAAGGTAATCTTAGTATAATAAAAAAAAAAACACTATAATCATTCTAAGAATACTTACCTTTCCCATAAAATATCAATGGAAGGTTTTAGTTGAATATTCATTTGAAAGTAAGAGACAGGGGAATTCTCCATGTGATCTCACAGAAAGAAGGAGGTAATCATAATTGTTCTCTAGGAAGATTAGCATTTACAGAAGTGGGAAAGTTGCTTCCAGAATATCTGCATTAACAGAAGGTTTCTGGGAATTAGGACAACATTTGTTTCCCAGCTGTTGGAGTTCCACAGTGATAGCAGCCAAATGGGATCAGTTGAAATGCAGCACGAGGTTCAGAAGCTTCTGCTTCTGCTGATTTTGCTGCAACTTGGACAAAATTTGCACAATAAGGTAGAAATCAGTAGTAAAATAGAATTGGATATAAAGAAATTCACAGTGTCAGCTTTAACTGATTATATGTAAACCATAAAAAATTGTGTAATGTATCCATAATTTCCTGGAAATTGCCTTGCTAGTGGTTTTTTATTTCAAAACCTGAAGGCACAGTTAATATTTAGTCAATACCATTTAGAGTTCATATATCTGTTCCCATTTAAAATTGGCTACTGTCCTTATCCCCTGTGGGTCCCTTTTCTGTGCAGCCATCACAGTCTCCACTTCTTCATCCAGGACTCATGTACCATTCCATTATCCACAACCAAAGACTGCCTGCTGCAAAGAGTGTCAAGGCTCGCTGTTGTCCAGAGTCCATGTGGTATTAGTTGTCAATTATTTTAAATATATTACCTGTCTATACAGTTTATTATTATTATTATTATTTCTATAAATTAACAGTAGTGTTAGGAGTTTCCATATGATACTTAAAGCTGTCCTCTGCATTTTATTAGAACTGCTGTCTTAATTTTACAAATGAATTGATTCTCATCACTATTTTTGTATCCTCATCACTGGTTAATCATTCTGGCACTTGTTTTTTAATATATCACAGGAAATCAGTTGTGATTTTTAGCATATAAATCATAGCCAGGCATCTCCTGATATATGCTGACTTTGTTACAAATAAATACAATTTGCTCATTAAAACATCTGACTTTTCTGGTGTTTTTTTTTTTTTTTTTTTTTTTAATTTGACATCTTATAAAACAATCTTCTTGGAAAATTTAACATTTCAAAAGTTTGGAATCAAATCCAAGTTTTGAAAGTTCTTGGATTAAAAAGTTAGACAAATTGGAAACTCAAGGGAATGTAGTTAAGACATATTTGGAGACTCAGAAATATGTAAAGAATGTAGCAGATGAAAATAAACACAGATTGCTCTTAAAATACGAGCATAAAAATATGGGCTCAATAGCACAATGGGAACAACCATTTTAAACAATGAAATCATCACAAAAACTAATAATGTATAAGGATAAATTTTAAAACAATATTTATATTAGAGTCAACCATTGGAACTTCCATCATCTCATTTAAAAGATTATTTATTTTCAGACCAAAGCCTGAAGCTTCCTGCTGAAGTCTCTTTTACTTGTTTCCCAAGGTCATTCATATTTAGCATGTTATTTTTTGTTAACAGTGAGTTTAGCCAGTCTGTTAATTTGTTCATATTTTTCAGTATGCTGTTGCTGTTTCCAGATCACAGTTAATAAGACAAAGGAGAAAACGGGCTGTCTTGCTGGCATTGCTGGAATCATTATTTTATGTTCTCAGCTTGTGTCAAGATTCTGAGTGCTTGTCACTCTGACACTGTTGTGAGGTTAATGGCCTTCTGCTGATTTCTGCTCCCTTCTGTCTGAGTGTTATCATAGGTCATTAATTGCTGATTCTGGGAAGCTGGGTGGATATGATACACTTGCTCAGTGTGCTGTACTGTAATTAAGAGTATAAACTTTGAAAGCTGTATGATTTTTACAAGTATTGAAGTATGTAACACCCTCTAAACCCAAACTACTGATAGTTTAGATAAATAGTCGAAAAAGGCCTTCAAACCCAACAAGAGTAATGTTTATGCAGATGAACTGTAAGAAAGTAGTAAAAATATCTTAATTGATTAGAAAAGTATTTTGACTTAGTTTTACATAAAATACTAAATGGTCTATTTTACAGGACCCAAAACATCAGAACAGGACTAAGAGTTTACAAAGTTAACAATGGAGGTTAGAGATGAACATTAAACACCAAGGAAAACCAAAACAAGAAAGCATGATCTTTCTGGAGATTGTCTTTATAATCTTGGCACTATATGTTTGGTGGTGAAAGATAAGGGAAACATGAGCAGTAGAATTATTGGAATTCTGTTGCTGGTGAAGTTAGATAAATCCTGTCTACTGTGATGTTCTTTTACATATGGCTTGAATGTGACCCAGTGGGGTCATTCCTAATTGCAGTTATGCCACCAATTAAAAAAAAAATATTCTGCCTAATATGTATGTGAAATTCTATTTTAAATATGTTTATTTTAAGCAAAATCTTGTTGCTTCTGTATTTACAACTTCATAGATGTTTTTACCAGAAGTAAATTTATGATGTCATAAAATAAAGTTTGAGAAAAAGGTGATGTTCCATTGAGAAATTTCAAGAGTCATCTTGAACTGCTGTGTAGTTCTGGATAACAAAACAAATGTATTCAAAAATATATAATGCCTTTTAAAGTCAGTAGATTTTGGGATAGGTGATTAAGTGTAGTGCTAAAACTTACAAATGGCTTTAATATACAAGTAAAAAATAAAGATTACATTTTAAACTTTCCTTGAAAACTTTGAATATTGTTTTTTATGTGTAGATTTTGAACATTTGCCTGACCCTGATATTTATTCCTAAAAATTTGTAATAGAATCTGAAATAATTAATACAATTAATTTAGAATTAATTTTAATATAATTTTAAATTAAGGAATGTTTTTAAAATGCAGGGCTACTATGTTCAAACTAAAAAAGAACTAACTTTGGTTTAATGAAATGTTCTTTAGGTTAAATTTTAAGAAATCATTGGTATTTACTATATGTTTCATGTAGAAATAGATCCTCTACAATGGTAAATAATTTGTTCTCAAGTCTGCCAAATATTTATCACCTTATCGCTTTTTGGGCTAATTATTTTTAACTGTCTTCAAATGACAAGTTTGTTCAAATTTCAGCCTGTCCTTATCTCCAATCAAATTAACAGAAAGGCTATAATTAGTAATTTGAGATCTGTTACTAGCCTATTTATTTCATTATTTCTTCATTCTTTCTGCTTTTTAAGCCATTTATATTTTTTGTAATATTTAAAAAAATTAAGTACTCAGTTCTCTAAGTTCAAATTTCGGAGTTTTCACTGAGAATTTATTCATCTTAGATTTTTCATAAAGTCAAAGAAAATGTTGGCATAGGGATTGAAGTTCACATACAATATGTCAAAAACCAGAAAATACTCAGTGAATTGACAATGAGTGATTTTTCCCCCCCAAAGACAGCACTCTGGAAGTCTATCCAGTTACTTCTGGTATACTTTTATATTAAATAATTTTTATTTCTATAATTACTTTCTTTCTGGCCTCTATTAACTTTTAGTTTAATGGATTTGCTCTGAGACATATAAAAATAAATTTTCACTGTAAATATGCCACTTTGCTTCTTCTTCAGAACATCACAGGTAAAATTGTTTTGTTTTACTTTTCTTGTTTTTAATAAGTTAAATTCCTGTATGAGTTATCTTCCAAATTTACAAATGAATCAGCTTTCTTTTACAAGTTGAAAGTAATAAGCTAGAAAATAAATTTTACAAAAGAATTCAATAAGAAAAACATTCTTGATGGTGTGTTTCCTGTCTTGATTGGTTCTTTAATTTTGATTATTAGTGGCCTAATGAATATAGTACAGGGGCTGGGGATGTGACTCAAGCAGTAGTGTGCTCGCCTGGCATGCGAGCGGCCCGGGTTCGATCCTCAGCACCACATACAAAAAAGATGTTGTGTCCGCTGAAAACTAAAAAATAAATATTAAAAAAATTCTTTCTCTCTCTCTCTCTCTCTCTCTAAAAAAAATGAATATAGTACAGATAATAAGTGTATGTGTATGTTTTTTTTCTCTTTTTTTTTTTTAGGCCAAAAGGTGTGCTTTGCTGACTCGAAGCATCCTTGCTACAAAATGGCCTACTTCCATGAACTGTCCAGCCGAGTGAGCTTTCAGGAGGCACGCCAGGCTTGTGAGAGTGAGGGAGGCATGCTCCTCAGCCTTGAGAATGAAGCAGAACAGAAGTTAATAGAGAGCATGCTGCAAAACCTGACAAAACCTGGGACAGGCATTTCTGATGGTGACTTCTGGATAGGGCTTTGGAGAAATGGAGATGGTCAAACATCTGGTGCCTGCCCAGATCTCTACCAGTGGTCTGATGGAAGCAGTTCCCAGTACCGGTCAGTATGGATCTGAAAGAGTCCTGCGGTGCTCTGGGGAACGAAAATTCTGTTTCCTGTAAAGATGTCAGAAACCAACAAACAAAACTACTCAAAAGTGTTTCTGTCACTCTCTTCCTGCAGAAACTGGTACACTGATGAACCTTCCTGTGGAAGTGAAAAGTGTGTTGTGATGTATCATCAACCAACTGCCAATCCTGGCCTTGGAGGTCCTTACCTTTACCAATGGAATGATGACAGGTGTAACATGAAGCACAATTATATCTGCAAATATGAACCAGGTAAGAAATAGCATCAGTAAGTATAGAAGATTTTGTGCATATTTGCTCATATTAGGTTTTGTCTTTAAGCTTTGCTACCTTGGGCTTTTTTGTTTTTCTGCTGTGAAATATAAATCACCTTGCAGCTTTTCCTATTGCTTGGCATAATGAAGCAAATTTGTGTCCTTTCTAGCAAACTGTCCAATGAGCTAAATAGAAGGGAGTTAATATAAACATCTGGATAAGTGTCCTTAAGAAAAAAATAGTCATTAAAAAACACAAATTATGTTTTTGTGATTGATTTTATTTTATAAACAATGAATGTATATATTAAAATAGTTTAATATTTAGTGTAGTGGGTGGAAAGAAGGTATATGCCTGCAAAGTTCCTATAGACTTATACATGGAGTGATAATCCTTCAGATGATTTCCTTTGAACCCAAGGGAACAAAGCAACTTTCTTCTGGAGTGTTAGTTTGGCATGCGGTAGCATAATACTTGGCATATGGTCCTTAGTAAAAATCTGTCTGATCATAGCTCCTTTCACCATAGTGGAAAAAACATAGAGACATTTAACACGTTCTCCCTCTGATTCCCATTCTTTGAATTATGCCTTCTTAATTAGCTTTCTTTTGAAATCTCTACTCACTTAACACACACAGCAAACAGGAAGATTGCATTGACCTAAGCTAGACTACTGTGGTTTCCTGCTTAAAATGGTAATTTTGAATGACTTTGAATAGGACACCTCAACTAAATTGATATTTAACTGAAAGAAGAACTAATCAAAACTATGTAAACTCATATTTTTTTAATCATCTGACAAAGTCAAGTTAGATACTTAAGGTTTTTTGTTTTTTGTGGCTGTTTTTCTGCACGGTGTTTGAAAGTGTCATTTTAACTCCTCTAAAGGGCTGTCTGCTTGACCTTATAATATGTTTTCACAGAAGGCAATTATAACCAAGTACTGCTGCTTCCATTATTCTCTTGAAATTACATGATTTCTTTTTCTCATAAGACTGTAAAGCGCAAGGGATTATTTGGATTAGATTTACCCTTCTTTCTGTTTACCCAGCTCTTGAGAATATTAGCCAACTTTGTATATCCCTGGTGAGTTTATTCTTTAACCTCTTTGGTTGTTAAATCCATCATTACCCTCCTGGAAGCCTTTCCAAAGCTAAGACTGTTATGTACTTTTGCTCTTCCTCTTTGTATTTTTCTCATGGAAAAATATAAAGTTGAGATACGCTGATATTTAAAATTTTTACCACTATGTACTTAAAAGTATTGGATGAAACAAAGAATACATTATAAGAACATTCTCAGTAAAATATCTCCCTTTTGTTTCTTTTGACTTATTAGGTGAGCTACCTGATCATTTTATTTTATTATTATTTTATTTGCATTCAAACTTTTTCTGTTATGTACAACATAAACAAACTTACAATATTCTTTTCTTATCTTGTGTCAGTAATCTAGGTTTATATTATTCATATAAAAGAATTTAAGACATTCTACATTCTGCCCAATCTTCAAATAATCTACATTTATTAAGTAAGACACCTTTTACATACATACTGTTTCTTATCATATGCACAGGGTTAGAGTTGCTTTTATAAATGTGCTTAGAATTTCTATTCTTTATTTTAATTTTTAACATTTTACTCTTTGTTTTCTATGTAGTCAGGTTTCCTCAAACTTACTTCCTACTTTGTAGAGGATTTGGTTTCATTAATTCCCCAGGTTTATAGTCACTGCTTGACTTTCAGTGGTGAGGAGTTAAAGGACTTAGGACTGTAACTAATTAAAAAATATAAATTATAACACTGATTATTTTGAACTTTATTTTCCAACTTTACTAGAACTACTAAGTGATATGAACTCTTGTCTCTCTGCTCCTGCACACCATCTAATAGTATTACCAGTGACATCAAAAGTGGTGAAAAATATTAACCTTGCTAGGAAGAAATGGAATAATTCACTTTTAAGCTTCTTTCTCTCCTCTCTTCCATTTTTTGTTAGTAGACTGTGAGTTGCATAACTGTTCCTTGGGTCTACCAATATCATCCAAAGATATTTTCATTAGGATAGATCTGAAGCTAAAATTTATATATTAAAATTGTCTTATGCACTCTTATTTTTAGATACTAAAAAACATGTATGCAATTATGTTCCTAAAATTATATTTAATCAGCAATAATATAAAAGTTTGTTGAAATTATTTAAAAAGTAACCAGTTCAATCTTGATTTATTGCATATTGTCTATAATTCGCTCAATAAATACCAGTTGACTACCTGAAGTCATAGAATGACTAACATCTGTAGAATATAGGCTAGGACTGAATCTGGAACCTAAAGGAGGCTATTAAAGTGTTAAATGACTAGAGACTCTATGGCAATAAAAGAGTAGTAAACATCACTTTTAAAATATCTGTATTCTAAATATGATATAAGATATTGCACATGATTTTTTTTCACATCAACTGACAAAAGTAAACAGAATTACATTTTTAGAACAAATGAAAGCAAATTTATAGGTCTCTTGATTATAAAATTTACTTTCTCTAAATTATTAATAAATGAAATAATTCCTTAGATAAAAAATACATTAAGCGGTTGTTACAGAAGCAGGTAATTGGTTCATGTGCTTGATTGTATCAAGTACAAAACTGCACTTTCAAGCACTTCTTCACATTGACCTCAGTGAAAAAGTTGTTATTGATTGGAGAAGTTGTGCTCTACATGTAGCAAATCATGGTAAGAAATTTCAACATTTAAAATTTTTGGTTATTGAAGAAATCTCATATCATAAAAGCGGAAAAGAAACAACTTCAAGCTTGAATTTATTATTGTAATATAAAAAAGTAGATACTATTGGAAAGCAAGTCTAAGAATGGCATTGTTTGTGTAGGACAGGAATGTGCTTCAGAACGTTGTTGAGTCTTGAATCACTGATTCAAAACGCAATCCATAAATAGTCGTCTGCAGATTATTATACAAGAAAAAACCTAAATGTTAAATTGATGTTAGTAAATAGGTTAGTAAATAGTAAATGCTTGTCTTTGAATTGCATCTAAAGTCTCCTTCTTGTGTTTGCAATTTCTTGCTTCTCTTTGTCTAACTTCACTTCTGCTTTATCATTATTGCCTGTAGCAGGGTGTCATCAACACAGACCTGCCCTCAATTGCTAAGTACAGTTTCAGAGGGAATTCATCAAGGGATCTTTTAATTCAAGCATAATTTAAGTGTTGACTGTATAGTTAGAACATTTTATGTTAACCACAGCCACATCAATGTTTATAGCAGCATAATTCACAATAGCTAGAATGTGGAACCAACCTAGATGCCCTTCAATAGATGAATGGATTAAAAAATGTGGCATTTATACACAATGGAATATTACTCAGCACTAAAAAATGATAAAATCAAGGCATTTGCAGGCAAATGGATGGCATTAGAGCAGATTATGCTAAGTGAAGTTAGCCAATCCCTAATAAACAAATGCCGAATGTCTTCTCTGATATAAGGGGGGTGACTCAAAATGGGATAGGGAGGAAGAGCATGAGAAGAAGACTACCACTAAATAGGGAAGAGAGGTGGGAGGGAAAAAGAGGGAGAAGAGGAGTTGCACAGAAGATGGAAGGAGAACCTCATTGTTATACAGATTACATATATGATGTTGTAATGAGAAAAAGAAAAAAAATGTGTCACATTATATTGGATAGAGAGAAAGAATGGGAGAGGAGGGGAGGAGCAGGGAGGATAGGAAGGGCAGCAGAATATAATAGACAATATGATTGATGTATGTACATTCCATGTATGTATTATATGGCAAAATGCATTATACTGTCATGTATGACTAAAAAAAATAAATAAAAATTTAAAAAAAGTTTAAATTCAGAACACATTCTTAGTTGTGAACAATTCAGAAATCAAAGTCAGTATATTTTCACTGTTTTATAAAAAATATTTTTATGTTTGCATTTCTCTTGTTTAATTATTACTTACGATTTCTGCACTAATTATTTACAGAGATTAATCCAACAGAACCTGTAGAAAAGCCTTATCTTACAAACCAACCAGGAGACACCCATCAAAATGTGGTTGTTACTGAAGCAGGTAATTGGTTCACATGTATTGACTCTGTGGAGTACAGAACTTCACTTTCCAATATTTGTTTGTTTTGACCCCAGTGAAATAGTTCTTGTTGCTTAGGGAAGTGGTACACTAAATATGGGCCAATGGGAGTTTAATTTTGAACTAATTTACAACAAATTATGCTATGCTACTCTTTTAGTAGAAGAACCTGCTTTTTACACTTCTAGGGGATATATCTGGTACTAAACTAAATGATCCATGTGAAATCCTGGATCTACAAAGAATTTCCCCAATACAGGGGAAAATTTCATGCACTGCCTCCAAACAATGATGTGCTGGTAAGTGGAGATTGTCTGAGTGAGGTGTAAAATGAAAAGCCATATTTGTAGACTTTTCCAATTTCTGTAATGTAAATATTGCTACCTGGCTAGTTTCAGACTACCAAAGTGACATCACCACATAGCACTTTTGGAAGAGATGAGTACTATGAGCTCTCCTCTGCCTGCCTCCCGCATACCATTGCCTACTAAGAAAATGAAATGCAATACCCAATGCAAACTGCATGTTAATCAAAAACTGCTCTCAATATCAGTTAGGGGCTCTTTTTAGCATAACCCTATGCCAATTGGATAGAAGATTTCTTTATATTAGTTGCTTTGCAAAGATTGAGCCCAAGACCCAAAGTCTTAAAATCTTTCTGCAAGTGATTCAAAATCCATAAAATAGTAAGAAATATTTACTCTTTAACTTTATCATTATATATTAAATACGATAATGGTATTTTAAAAATAAAATATTTCATTAATTGTTAAAATGCTTTCTATCACTATTGGAGGCTCAAAAGAGGAGATGAAATATCCCCAAATTACCCTTTCACTAAATCTCACTGATATTTCTTCTGTTAAGAAAGGAAGGGATATGCAGTTAAGAGACTAGCTTGATCTTCATCTGGACCACTTTGACCAGTTATTTAGATGAGTCATAATGACAGCTGGGAGCTTGCAAGCTAAATTCATGGATTGTTCAATTTCCACTCCTTGTACAGGCGTGATATTAAGACAGTACTTTTCAGTTTCCAGGTGTATGATCTAAAAACTGCTCAGAATATCTAAACCTAATTAAAGATATCAGTAAATAATTATGTTAGGAATATTTCATCTTGTACAACATTGAAAAGATATCTAATAAAGTCATTTCATGCTGTGTGAGACTTGAGTGCCGCAGATTTTTTTTTTAAATTTTACTAAGAATACCTAACATTATCAAGTGTGATGGGAAAGGATTAAAATGATTCTTTTTAGAATTTAATTAAGATCATGTCTTTGCGCCTGTGGAGTCTTATGCCTCTGGGTTATGATTGTATCATTAGTTAATATTTACATATTTTGACTTAATCCCAGAGACTTGCATAATATCATGGCACTGTTTATTGGCTAGGATAATTATCCAATAAGTCAACAACAATCTTAATAATTATTCCTTAATAATCAGTGCTTGTTTCTCTAAGTAATGACTGAGAAGGATTCATGAAATAAAGAAACCAAGATTACGAATAGATTATAAAAATTAGTCCATGTCTGAAATACAGACTTAATAAAAGTTTTAAAGTACAGATATTGAATTGCAGTATGACAATTGGTGGAGTAAAATTTAGTTTTTTTAATTTTTACTAAAATATGGATATTTTATTTCATTAGATTTATAATAGTTTGGGATGAAACTTGTCTGGAATCTATTTATTGGTAATAGTTCTATTTGACCTTGATTTTTTGGGGGAAATTCTTATGTGATTGGTATTAGAATCCTTCCTCACTATCTTTGTACACTGTCTGTTTTACTTTTGTAGGCATAATTCCTAATCTAATTTATGTTATTATACCAACGATACCACTGCTTTTACTGATATTGGTTGCTTTTGGAACCTGCTGTTTCCAGATGCTACATAAAAGGTAAATAATTCATTTATGGAGAGACAACTTGAAAAACTTTAAATTCTTTTTAAAGACAGCTTCCTCATCACTGTGACCAAAAGACCTGACAGAAACACTGTAGAGTCAAAAGAGTTTATTTGGGATTTAGGGTTTCAGAGGTCTCAGTACATAGATGGCCCACTCCACAGCCCTGGGCCCAAGATGATGCAGAAAAGCATGGCAAAGGAAAGCAGCTCAAGGTATGGCAATCAGGAAGAAGAGAGAGCTGCACCCACCAGGGACAAAGGCACGTGCCTTATGACTTACCTCTTCAAGCCACAGGCCTACCTGCCTACATTTACCACCCAGTTAATTTATCAGTGGATTAATGCACTGATTAGGTTAAAACACTCATAATCCGCCAGGTATGGTGGCAATCACCTGTAATCCCAGCGACTGGGGAGATTGAGACAGGAGAATCTGTAGTTCAAAGCCAGCCTCAGCAAAAGAAAGGTGCTAAGCAGCTCAGTGAGACTCTTGTCTCTAAATAAAATACAAAATAAGGCTGGAGATGTGACTCAGTGGTAGAGTGCCTTGAGTTCAATCCCTGGTATCAAAGACCAAAAACAACAACAACAACAAAAAACCCCAAAGACACTCATAATCCAATCATTTCACCTCTATTCTTTCTTGCATTGTCTCACACATGATATGATATCTCATATCAAAACCATAATACGAGTATTCAGAAATCTTTAAAAATATTACTGTAATATTAGTTATGTTTTAAATTTGGCTTCTGATGTTCATATATGCCAATACAAATCCAGTACATTCAGTCTTACAAAATATACCTTGATTACAGAAGTCACACAGTGCACAGTTTAATCTTTACAATTCTTATGAAGTAGGTGTTCTCTGTTTCTAGATTTCAATTGGAAAGATGGTGCCTTAGGTGGTGCCTTAGGTGGTGCCTTAATCTGTCTTGGATCCCACAAGTAGCATAGAGAAGGGATCTAAAATTTGAATGCTTATAAACTTAATAATAGATGCACTATGCTATACTCTCCACTAATTATTAAATATAAGAATTAATGCTAAGCCTTCCAGTACTGACATCAAGTTGTATGTAAAACTTGATTTTTGTAGATGTACTTATAGTACCTTTTCCAAATTCAAGTCATAGGATTCTGATTTTTTCCCAAGGGATATTCTAAGGATAGGAAATACAGTACAGTGGTAAAAATATGTCATTCTTTGGCAGGTCTTTGAAACAAAATCAACCTTATTAACAGATTTCTGAGGAATATTCCACTTTTTATATCTATTTATCCATACTCTTCGGTTAGAGAAGTTTTTCTTGTGTCAATTTGTCAATAAGATTCTAAAAATGAAATATAAATAAGTAAAAGAAAAGAGCAAAAGATATTGGATTTCAAACTAAAAGCATTTTTGTTAGAAGAACCTAAACATCTTTGTTGGAATATTTTAGATGATACTGATCTTAAAGAATGCCTCAAACAGAGAAGGATCTAATGAAATCATTCCTTAGATAAACCCCAAAGACTCCACTAAGTAACCAAAGACCCAGGTAAAAAATTGTGTAGGTTAAAGTAATTCACATAGATTTTTAAAAGGATATAATGTGTAATTCCCTAGATGTAAAATCATTCTGAATAATGACAAATAGAGCCTGGCAAATCAAAATCATACCTGTGTCTTCCTGGCTTTCTAATATATATGTGGGACACAATGGAGGTTTATTTTTCAATATTATGTACAGAATAAGGACAATAGTACATATGTAGTTGCTTGTCCTAATTCCTAAGACAATAGATGGAAAGATGATTTCTCATTGTGAAAATCTGTGAAGCAGAAGGATTGGATATAAGTCCCCTTCTAACCCGGCAAACTGTTAAGGAAGACCAGTGAGTGGCAGATCAGCTTGAGAAAATGATCTGAAAATATGAATTAGACATTCTCACCTGTAAAGTGAAAAGGGCTAAAAGTGCCAAGTAACTGCATTTTCTCAAAAATTTGTTTTGTTTTGCTCTCAAATAGTGCATTGTTATGGCAATTCTATTCATTCAAAATCTTGTAGGTTTATAAGGAAGCACAAAGATCTGTGGGCTTTACCATGTTTGAAATTCTCATAATGAGAGAATAAATGAAAACTCAGAATTTCCAGATGCCAGAATTAACTACAGTACTTCATTCATTCATTCTTAGATCCTCCCCTTTTCCTTTCTTCCAGGAAAGCAAGGAGAAACTTCATCAAAGACTCAACTCCATTATCATCTGAATGCCTTGCAGAAAGTTTAAATTCCAATCTGGTACACATGATGGTTTCTGTCATTCCATGTCATGTTCAAAATAACTCTCATTCCCTTAACCAGCAGTGATTCTTAAATACTAATTTTACACAAAAGTCACATTAATAACTTAACCAGTTTTTTTTTAACCATTTAAAAATATGGTTCTAATAAACTTTGCCTAACGTTTTGTATTTATGTTAGATGACTTTGTAGAATACAGTTATGTTTTTATTTATTTGGAGGAAAAGCTACAAAATATAAAATTTGAATATAATATTTTTGTCATAAAACAGTTAAATTGAAGAGAATTAAATAATATTTAAAATACAATAGTAAGATGTGGTTAGAAATAGTTCTTCTCTTTGATGGAGTTCTGCAATGTCTTTGGATGGTGAGGATGGAATGGGAGAGGCATGCCAGTTGGGGGCTAGGGAAGATACTGCAGGTTTGAGAGGAGATGCTCATGGGAAGAAATTAGGGCAGAACACAGTAAACAAGGACAGGTTAAGAACAGTGATTCGGGTGAGAGATTAACCTCGGAAAACTAGACCAAAGGAGTCCAGGTCTTGACAAGTAATCTGGTAGAGGACTTAAGAAAACATGAATATACACTTCTGTAGGTCTCTGGAAAGACCTATTACTGAGAAAAGTTAAACCACAAGCACAGGTTGGAAATGTGGGCTAGAATGTTAGCTCTGACAAGAGTAAATTATAACTCAGATCTGGTTAAGAAACTCAGATGTTCCCAAATTATCAAAGCTTGGCTCTGCCATTGAACTTCATTGGTTTCAGAGGCTGAGGCATAGTTAAGTTTTTAGGGACCAAGTGACATAAGTATAGAACTGGAAAACGGATGGGAGGAAGGCCTAGGTGGCTCTTACACTTAGTACCAGAACAAGTTTTCTGATTATTTGATATTAAATGTGACATATATCCATAGAAGTATACTCAAAAAGCAAGATTATAAAAAAAAGAAAAAAAAATGACCAAGAACAAACATAAACACACACATGTTTACTGGGGAAAAATGGAAAATTTTTGTGTCAGACACATTTTTTCTATCACACTGAATTATGAAGATTCAGAGAAAGACACTTTGGGTGTTTGTCATCATAAGAATTGTTTGCCATCTTTACACATTGGAATAATCCAGTATTTTTTTGTAGGACTGGAAAAATATGCTGGTGAGAGAAGAAAGATTCATTTATAAATAAGTGTCTGAGAGATCTCCATTTGGACCAAGACTTGATTAGTTTGATAAGAAGTTTTAGGTGCTGAATTTATTTTTTTTTATGTTTTTCAGTAAAGGAAGAACAAAAACTAGCCCTAATCAGTCTACCCTGTGGATTTCAAAGAGTACCAGAAAGGAAAGTGGCATGGAAGTATAATAATATATTAACCTGCCTCCAGAAAACAAAATTGTTTTATAATTCTGGATCAGTATAAGGAATGGCATCAGAACATTAGCTTGGAATGGCTTGAAATCTCAAAGGATCTGCAAGATGAACTGTAAGCTCCCCCTTGAGGCAAATATTCAAACAACTTTTATATGTTTATTATTTCATTTATAAAATATGCTGTGCTATAATGGAGTGAGACATGCTTATTTTGCTAAAGGATGCACCCAAACTTCAAGTAAATGGAATGGACCATGCAGATAAAATTGCTATCAACACATCAAGAGTATGTGTGTTGGAAGCAGTTATTTTTATTTTCTTTCACCTTTCATAGGTTGTAATCTAGTTAGAGTAAAGTAAATTGTATTGAAATTTACAGTGTGTAAAAATATTTTACCTTTACATAAGTGTTTGATAAAAATGGACTGTTCTAATATTTATTTTTATGGCATTTCATTTTTCAATACATGCTGTTTTGATTAAAGAAGTGTATCACTGTTGTTAACTAAATTCACACATACTCACACACACAAATATACTACCATGGGGGTAAAAAATTCTTTTCTAGAAATTAATCATCTTCATTTGGTTTTTCTGCTTTTGGTTGGACAATGTTTAGGAAATATCTTCAGAAAGAAGCTGTTTTATTAACTGTGGTATAAATCTCCTGAAACACTTTACCTAGAGGCAAGCATTGTCTATTTCAATTGTGTAAGACATGTGCCTTACAATAATTTTTAGTTTAAAATTCAACAGATTTTGTAATAGAATAACTTTACTAATAGCTATATAAACAGTAATGCAGTCAGTTGTGAACAAAAGAAGTGACATACACAGTATAAATCATATGTCTTCACATGTTGCCTATATAATTGCAAGTAGCTCTCTGAGGGTTCTGGAATCAAGGTGGTCCTTCCCTTCCCCACCAAACAAAGGTGGTTGTTTGGGGTTTGGGGTTGACGCGGGAGGCAGATAGCTGCAGCATTTGCCCTGGCTGAATTTAGCCTCTCTAAGTATATGAAGAGGTCTTAGAGTTGGGACCAGGTGAATGGTCACCATCAATATGGAGCTAAGCACAGCACATCAAGTTTTCAGGATGGGAAAAGTACTACAAATTAGGTGAATGAGTGTCACATGGATAGGAAGTTATTAGTGATTGAATATTCATTGAAGAGGGTTTGTTTGCGCTAGTAAACAGTGGCTCCTTTCTGTCTTCTAATTTCTTCGATGCTTATAACTTGTTCTTCTCAAGATAGAGTTGTTAACTATTTGGTCTTCAGATGTCCCTGTGCTCCTTTTAACCAAATAAAGAATCCTTGTTTCTGAAGAATGATCCTTGGTGTTGTCTAAATTTCTTATGTGAACACAAAGTCGATATGTGGCATCACTACATGAAGATGAAAACTGTTCAAGTGTGGTAAGAATGAAAGTCGTGGGCATAGAGCTAACAGAAAAACTTTTCTTTGTTAATTCTTTTCAGTTGGATAATAAAATGCTGTAATTAAGCATTTCCTGGAGTTCATTGGCAAAACTGAGGTGTGGAACAGAAAACAGTAGTTACTGACCCTTTTTCAGGTGCTTTAAGACTGAGAGAATGGCCATCTGCAAGCTGAGTTTAGATCTGGCCTCATTTTGCATTTCTTCTTTCCATGGTTACTCATCCCCATAGGAGGAACTGGAGACCAGCTGCTAGCACCTCCCTGTTCCATCCAAACTACCATCACACACTTCTTCCCTTATTCAGGACTTGATGAAAGGGAGACTAGGTTTCTCCTGTGTTTTGCCACCCAGGACTGTAACAGCTGCACAGCAGAAGCAGGCAAATGATGGATACTGGCTTTGCTTTCTCCTTTATCTTTATCCAGGTCTGAATAACTCTTCTGGTATTAATGACTAAATCCATAAATGACTAAAGGTGGAAAAAGCAAACTCCTCTCTTATTAGAAGATGATACTGATTGTCCTAAGAGTTTTCTAAAAGTTTAGCTGACTTTCGAAAATGAAAAGGAGAAGATGGTATATCTGTTGTGTTCATGTTTTCAGAGCATAGCTTTAATATGTGCTGGGAAATACAGAAGAAATTCGGAATAATGTTCAAGTACTAAACACAAACAACACAACCTATGCCTGCTGCTTCATCATTCCTGTTGACCAAGAATTAAAAAAAGTTCTTGAAGAGTGTGTTCAGGGGCTCCTGAATTTTGTCCTAAGAATAAAGTACACAGTTCTTTATGGGCATCTGTAGTCCTCCATCATGCTACACATTTTTTTTTTATATGACATTTTCCCTTTAGTATGACTGTTACCAATGTGATGCTTTTGGTACCAGAATACATGCTACGGACCACTCTTCTCAAACTTACAAGATTTCAGGGACCACCTTTGCAGTGACCCTGCTACCCTATTAAATGAATCAGTAATAATCATTCCTTCTGGGAATAACTCAAACTTCCTTTCTTTCATAAGGCCAATCCATACTGACTAATCCCTTCTTTAAACTCCTCTAAATATCACTCTCTTTTCTATCATATGCTTATGCAAGAATGCGTGTACATATGTGTTTTGCATTAAGTAGGTATAAATTTTGTGTACCCAAAATCAACAGATTCTGTGTGGTCAGCTAAATTGAAGCTTGCAGTTCCTCTGGAAATTATCCAAGACATTAAAGAAGCAAAGAAAATTCATTTATTACACATTTTTGGCCTTCTAATGGGCAATTCAGCTGTGTCTTAACAAGTTTTTCACATGCTAGAAATATCAAGTATAATGCACATAAACCAAGAACAGAAAAACATTTCTAACAGTTATATTTCTTTAATATGCCTGTTTATATTCTGAATCTTAAGAAGACTAGCTTAAAATAAGTGGATGGTATGATTTATCCAGGTAAAAATGATCTGTATAGGCTAACCATATTTGTTAATTTATTTTTTGTTTTAATGCTAAGGTGATATAGAGACCTGTGTGTATTTGCTGCTCAGTTTTATATGAGGGAAACGGGCAACTAATCATGTCACAATTAGGTCTGTGACATGAACTTACAATAAATATTTTATATGATCAGGGAAAATATTAAGTTTACTCTCAAGTTGAAATGGAAATTCATTGGGTGGAAAAGCAAGAAAAGTGTTGAGATTCTCGTAATAACATGCTAAACTGAAACCAGACAATTTAGAGTAGTTTATTTCAAACAATGACATACTTTGGGCAATACAGTTATTTTTACTTCTTTTTCTAATTTTTATCAAACTTTTAAAAATGTGTGGTTTGTGTTTTAAAATCAAATCAATGTAAATAACAGACAGTGGCAAAAATAATAATTAAAAACCAAGGAATGATATCTGTGAAAGAAAAATCTGTTCAGAATGAAATCAAAATTGAGAAGTTACTTTGTGTCACCAAGATTAATTCTAAGATTTTTGTATTTTATGCCTTCCTCTCATCCCAGCACTTTAAGTGGCCTATACTAGAATAAATAAGGCTTGTGGTAACTTTTCTTTTTTACCCACAAAACTCTCAGTTTGTATGTTTCTTAGAGTGGGATAGGAAAACTGCCCACTTTCCTGTTTGTTTTAGGAAAGGCTTAATGTAGGAAACTCTGAATCCATTCTGTGAACCTTGTGACTCGGGCATACACCCCTGGGTGGTTAGGAAGGGCACACTTGTCTCCAAATGATGTCACACCAGCAAGGAGCCACCTGTTGTTTTCTTCGCACATTAATGGTCCTCCTGAATCTCCCTAAAAAGTGAGTCACATAAAAAGTTGTGGGTGTGTGTGGTTAATGAATATAAACATAAGAGATCGTGTTAAGCAAATCAATCAAAAATAAATATTTATAAATATGATTTATTGCAAGCCCTCTGTAGATGTTCTTACCATCACTCTAGGCCACAAATGAGAACCCATTGCTCCTCCATAGGAAGAAAGAGAAAATTATGACAACTCAAACATAATTTGTAATATTTTACAATACCCTAAAACTTTCTTTAATTATGGTGTTGCACTCTAAAGTGCAATAATGAATAGGAATGTAATTACTAACAAAATATAAGTTGATAATTTTTTTAAATAGATGCTGTAAAAAACATCTTATGAAGGACTCCAGAAAAAATATAACTGATTCCATATTGTGATTTAAACAATAACTTATACATGGTGTTGATCTTTGTACTCTTGAGTGGGATTAAATTTTTGGCACTGAACAAACACAATCAAATTTGAAAACCTCAACATTTCAAATGAAAGAGGCAAATCTTTGATATAATTCTATTAATAAGAACATGTTTTCATCAGAGATTTCAACTGATGTTAGAAAGGTTTTAATTTGAACAAATGCTAATTACAATTGATCCTAGTAAATTACACAACTTTTATTTGTGCACAATGATTCCTGAGTAATGATAATGATAATGGAACATGTATCATATTTAATGATGTAAAAGTGACAAGTATTTCTCCTATGTTAATTATGTGAACATTTTAGATTAATTTATTGCCTTTTTATGAAATAATTTAAAGTCTTATACACTTTGTTTAAATAGACTGGTGTAGCAAAATATTTCATTCTTAGATTTATGTTAGAAAAAATCAGAGAGACTTTTTGTCTGAATCTTTATCATCTCTGATCCCTCTATTTAAAGGAAAAAACTGGGGTCTATCAAAGCACTTTTATTTTAATCTTGGGTGCACAGGAACATAAATTACATTGGCAATCACAGATTACCTATATTCTAGATGTAAAAAATATGTTCAAGTTGTTTGAAGGTAGGGACTATGATTTTTATTTCTGCACCCTAAGCCCTTACCATATATATATATATATATATATATATATATATATTTTTTTTTTTTTTTTTTCAGGAATATTTATGAAACAATATTTATCCAAGATTTAAATTTCACATATAGTTTATGTCATTAAAAGTACATTTCAACTGCTTGAATATTTTCAAGAGGAGTTATTTGATTTTCTTCATGTTTTCTAAAATAATTTAATTTTTATTTTAAGAGGGACCCAGACATTGATTGTACAAACAAGGATTTTAGCTTACCCAGCCCATACTAGGTCAGTTGCAGTTATTCAAGACCAGGCAACAGGCTTGCTGCCTTTCTGGTGTGTGGTCTATCTGGCTGGGAGCCTGAGGTCTGTATCCATCATGTACCATCATCTTACTAAGCATTTCAGTTTAGTTATGGACCTTCTTGTCTTAAATATCTAATATGCTCAATGATGGTACTTCCTTCTTCCACTCTGAAATATGTTACTTCAAAAATATGAATTAATATCCAGAAGATAAAGTATTAACTTGAAATATATTTTTCCACTCACATGTTATATTTATAAATAAACCTAAAAATCACTAACTTTTCTGAGTATAAGGGCTGGTAACCATTTTTGTTTCGAATGATGGTTCTGAAACTTAACTATCAGAATCACCAAAGGTGATAAATGTGGAGCTCACAATGCCAGACTCCAATCTCAGAGGTTATGATTTAGCAGGTGTGTGATGAGACCAGAGGATCTGCACTTCTAAAAAGTTCTGAGGTGATGCAGATCTATCTGCTGGATTGAGGAAGGGTTTGAAAATTGCTGGTATGGAATGGTGAACAGAATGCCCTCCCCTTAGTTTTACAGAGAGAAGTCATTCTCTAGTTATTGTTCTTACTTTTAAATCCAGACAACTGCCTTAAAAATGCAAACCTTTGGTAACCCAGATGTTTAAGAACTTGTGAATGCATCATGAGGCAAATTCTGAGGTTAAAATCTTATGCTTCAAAGTTATTCAAACAATATATCAATAACAATTTTAAATAGTGTATTAATCAGTTAATTCTCTTATAAAACAGAGCATTAAAGTTGAACCAAGAAAATCATATGACAATCTGAAGTTATGATTACTCAATTATGATAACATTTTGTTACATAAGGTATTTCCTTGTATATGAGAGACTTCTTACTTGTTGATGAATAGCATACTTACACTCTGAAATCAGAGCCAACTATAAGATCTCAAAGATCTGGCATGAGTTATCAGCTTAATGTGATCTTAACATCAATAGCATTAGCCATTGTATTTTCTTCTTAGTGAGTGAGGTGTATGCCACACAGTCCCCATTAACTATAATTGAGGTCGTACAGCTGATTTCCCTCCTGCACAATAATTCTATAAATCTCCCCTTAAGTGGCAATATATCTTACCTTTAGTACATCTTTCATTTTAAATGGAAGTATAAGATCCAGAGGTAATTTTTATACAAGAAAGCTATTCAATTTTACTTAAAATTGTGTGTTCATCAAAGCAGAATAAATGGAAAACTCAGTTGAAAGTT